GGCCTTGCCGAAAACCCCGCCCCCCCCCCCTTTGTACCCGTGGGGGAGGTGAAAACGGGGTTCCCCCCCCCTGTCCCCCCCCCGTTGGGGGGGGGGGAAGGCCCCCCCGCCCCCGGGGGGGGGGAGGGGGTGGGGGGCTTTCTCCCCGGGGTAAAAGGTTCGGGGGGGGGGGTTTTTCCCTTTAGCCCCCCCGGGAAAATTTGGACCTAGTCCCTTAAGAGAAGGGGGGCCCGGGGGGGGGGGGGGGGGGAGGAGGCAGTCGGTCCTAGATTCTGAGGGCGCGCTCGTGAGACAAAAAAGGGGCGTGCGCCTTCCTAGCGGCGTGGGGGAGAAAATGAGGCCAGGGTCGTGAGTTTCTCGACAACGTCACAGGGGAGCGAGCGCTCTACGACGCTTCTCGGGCCAACCCAGGCATCGCATTCTTCATTGCCGCACGCAGTCAGGAGTCACACCCAAATCAACGTGCTCTGAGAACGTGGTAGCACGCAGAGCCTTTTTCCCGTATGGCTGAATGAGAGGGGGCGTCACCGGTTCCTCGCTTGTTCAAAAGCTCACTTCTTGAGGACACCGTCCATACGTACGTACACCTCTAGCGTATACCCTCAGAAACCGCCGGCCTCCTTGCCTACACCTCTGTTCTGTTCGCAACTCGTGATCCTGCAGGAAAGTGTCAACCAGACCTACAAGGGTGTGCAATCTCGAAAAAAACATGTTAACACCGAGCTCGGGCAGACATCAGCAACGCCCACTTCTTGAAGACGCCCACGACAAAAGGACGCGGCCCAAAACCGTTTAGACTTGTTCTGTTTTTTCTGGTTGAGCTTGAGTTCAACCCGTGACCGCCAACGCCGTGGTTGGGAGTGCGGGATATAGAGCAAAGTACCGTACAGTTCACGTTGGTCACACAACAGCAGTGCAACGTTGAAGTTGACACAACACTGCGGGACCAAAAGCACGCAACTCAACGTTCATGTGGACACGACGGCGACGTGGACCTGAACAAGCACGGCAGTCACAGCAAGATCATGACAACACCTACCAGCGCTTCAGCTCGCTTCTTCAGCACGCTTGGTGGCATCCTGGGATCCCTGTGATAACAGAGAGAGAGAGAGAGAGAGAGAGAGAGAGCGGTGCCGTACTTATGCATCGATGTCGTCGTTGCCACATGAAACCGCCGAACAGAGAAAACAGAAAAAGACACGTGCGTGTACGTCCATCTCTAAATCAAGCAAGCTTATTCGGTATGGCGTCATTGATCGGCCGCTATCGGAGGCCTCCATGATAATAACAAAAAAGTTCCATGCGAAACGGATGCAGCGGGACAGGTCCGACCACCGCTGGTCAAAAGCAAGAACCAACCCCGAGAAAGCAGCAAGAGAGGAATGATCGCAATTCCTGAACAATTGCTCGACGTGCAACTGCTGTTCATGACCCCCCCCAGAAGCAAGCCTTGTCGCTAACACCCAAATCCCAAATGATGCCCGACACTACACGGCACGCAATATCATGACACAGTGTAGTAGAGGTCCTTATTTAGTCTCCGTATGTGCGCAGAATAACTCACCAGCACCATACCGGACACCGGCAGTTATTGAAAGTACTTAATGGCTTGGGAATTCAGTGTGTAACCGCCGAAAACGCCGGCGATCGACACTAAACAGGGACCTCTGTGCCCTTTTCCCGGAAGACAAAGACAGTTGGATCACCTTAGGACCATCTTGCACGCCCGTTGAACCGTGAGCTCAACATCCACCCGGTGCACTCTCCACAGGGCCTACGTAGGATTATTCAAAGCATCGGCCACGAGAAAGAGCCACCCCCCACAGCGATGCCGGCCCCGGACACATGGACGGCGCGCAGCAGGGACGGATGGATGGACGGGAGGGAGAGGGAGAGCAAGCCTTTAAGCCACCCAATCAGCGTACTCCGCCAGCTCCAAGCAGAGCTGACGACAGGTCAAGGGAGGGGTCATATGACAGGCAACGAGCCGATTCCATTTCGCACGACAAGAAGAGGGCCCCGTCGGTGTCTTGGCCACCATACTGGCTCAAATTTCCTCTCTCAGCGGACCCCCTTAACAACACTGTTTTCTGTTCTGTGTACCGTATATGACACAAGATAACACACCCCCTGGACCGATTTTCAAAGCTCGATTACTCCACGACGAAGAGGATGCATAAATGAAACAATACGTTTTCGAACAGCTCTCGACGAGACGGTTCCAACGCCGCCGTTTTCGGCGCTGCGACTCTTCCTGCTGTTGAGAAATCGAGCTTTGAAAATCGGCCAAGGGGGTGTGTTATCTTGTGTCATATACGGTATGTGTTTAGTCCTATCAATTTTGGACGCCACTAGGTAAATGCTTGACGCAACAACCGGGGCCACACAGAAGGTAGTTAAACACTGGCTGGATATTTCCAGTCCCTTCCCCCCCTTGGTTGCCTTCGATGAAGGTGAGAAGGGCTTAGCCCCAGGACGGCTTCGGTTTTGATCCCCCCCCCACTACGAACGCGAGGAGAAAAACATGAAAAAATGTACACAACCAACAGCGACACCCAGCTCCGAACACCGCTGCCGTACTGCAT